GTCCATATTAGGGTTATATAAATACTTAAGATGTAACTCTACTTCAATAATGGAAAAGAATGGCCGCTCGCTCTCGTGGATGTAGGCACATTGCCGAACCACGTAAATCTCTGTGTGTTATTTTCTCCTACTTTCTTAATTGTTTGATTCCTTACTATTCATCATAATTGTTGCACGATCACAACACTTATCTACTTCCATGAAATGTTTACATATTTAAAAATTAAGTAAAGAATTAAATTGAGCCTACTGCATTTGAGGGCTAAGCCAACCCCCATATCTGTCCTCAAGTTCTTGTGGATAGTCGTAATGATGAATGGTCACAAATGGCTCAATTCCTGTACTAGATAAGTACACTATTTCAACACTATAATTTTTTAAGAAGAGTGAGAAGTGGGATGACTTTAATTTTCTTCATAGTACCATTGAGTAAGAGATTGTGTATGATTTTGTTGTAGAACATGATTCCAGCTGGATTAACTTCACCATATATCCCACCTGGTACAACTCAACAAGCTGATTGACATTAACTAATATATTTTTAAATTAAAAGGGTAAATAAAAAGGAGGACCAATATTTCATTTCAATGCATAGTCTTGGTCAGCTTGAAAACAAAAATATTTTGAAAACATGTTGAAAACAAAGAAAAGAAATTAAAAATTCGTTTCAAAAACATTGATTGAAATATGCTAAACAAACCAAAACGCATCCAAATACCTCAAAACATAGGAATTTAGTCACTTTTGATTTTCATTAAAACGAAAACGTTTTGATCATTTTGACAAGTTCATTTATTTTCTTGACTACAACACAGGAAAAAAAAAAAGCGTACTGGGTAAAACTCTAGCCCATGAAAGTATGCATTCATCCCCAAAGAATGCGCCATCTCAATGTCTTCCTGTGGTTTTTTATCATCAAAAAATAAATGACCTCAAAGTCTATTTTTTTGCTTTACCCTGATAATTTTCAAGGAAGTACTAATTAAGAAATTGACGAAGAGGCAAAACCAAATAACGATGGTAATTATCATCAGCAACATCTCCGGTTTCTCCGTTTCTTATGCTACTTGGAAGAGTTGAAGAGTTCCGCCAAATGCTCAAAATTCAATCATATTTTAGGAACTTAATTGATTTTTGAAAGAAATAGGGTTAATTGCACGGACGGTTCCCAAAACATGGAGTTTGTTTTGTTTTTGTCTCCAATATTTCAATTAAATCATTTTAGTCCTTGAAATATTGAATATGTTTCTAAATAGTCCTTCAAGCAGACAGCGTCCAAATTGCTTATCATAAACTTGTCACGTGATACTTAAATATGGAAAAAAAAATAATTTAGATAATTTTTGACTAAATTTTTACTCAAATTTTGGTTAAATAGTTACTCAAATTACACAGTTTTGATCATGAATTATCCCAATTTTGGTTAAAATCTACTCATATTATACATTTTTTTGTCAAGAGTTGCCCAAATTTTGTTTAAGAGATATAAAAAAAAAAATTTGTCCATATTTAAATATTACATAGTAAGTTTATAATAAAAAATTCATTAGCAATACGACGTTTTCGGTTTGAAGGACCATATATAAATATATTCAATACTTCGAGAACTAAAATTATACAATTGAAACATTAGAGATCAAAATGAAACAAATTTTATACTCAAATAACCCAAAGAAATAAAAACATTAGAGATAGCATTTCAGAAGATTTTACTACCTGAGATTCGACCGAACACATCCCAGTTGCTTTGATTTTTACCATCTTCGAGATATGCTCCTTCAATCTGAAAATAATGGGTATGAATCTACTCATCAACTCAACAAACCACTGTCGTGAGATGGGCTAAAATAATGGGTATGAATCTGATTCCAGAAAAAAAAGAGTTGGAGAAGACCGTGAGAAAAAAGGACATTGAAAACAAAGAACACAAACCTGATAAGAAGTGGTTGCCCCAAAAAGAAAATCATTTGGAAAATGAGTCTTTGGATTTCATTTTCTTTCTCTTCATCATTGAAGCCTTCAACACAGTACTGAGCAGGAACTAGAAAGAATGCTATGAGGAAGAAGAAGATAAAAGATGTTATGATTTTCATTTTTTATTTAAAATAAGACTTTAATTCACCCTTTAATACTACAATCCCATTGGATTCTATTATTGTGATGTCACAATAGGGTCATATTCATATGGAGCCTACTAATAAGTCTCGATCAATAAAAATAATATATTACTAGGACAAACATTACAAAAATTAAAATTGAAAGGCTGTAGATCTAACTTTAATTTGTCAAATGCTATACAGACTGTCCTGCTTTATCTTCTCTAGATCTAATGCTATTCCCTCCATTTTGTCAAAATTTAATATGACAAAATTAACATTAAATCTATATAATAAAATAGTTAAATTATTTGTCTTGATCTTTTCACGGCTCAGATCGTTTTGATTTAATGATGTTAATTGAACTTTCATTCCTTTTATAACTCTAAGACTCTCATCTCTCATATAACTCTCTCTATCTATCTATTTTATACTCTCTCTCTCATATTATTATCTTGTTTCTCCTGTATTGTTTTTGTTATTATTTATTCCATAAAACAGATGAAATTATATGTTACGTAATTATTTATTCTATAAAACTAATTCAAATTTTTATATATCTAACAGTATGTATTTTTCCAATTTCTTCTTAATTTGTAAATAACAATTACTGTAAATAAAAAATAGCACATTAACTATAAAAATCAAATAATATTCCACACGAAATGAACCTTAGATTATAAATTAATATATAATTTTATCAGAACATTTAATTTTGTCCGATTTATATTCAACTTTGTCGAATAAATATGAAATTACTTTTTATTATTATCAAATTAATATTGAAATTCATCTAATCAATTTTTTGGAGTACTAAATTAAATCAATTTTTTGGGTACTAAATCAAATTTTATTTGATTTTATTAAATTTTTATTTTTTTTTGGTACTAAATTTGCAGATGGAGAATTGTAAATGTAACGCCCCAAAAATCGGGGATCCTTAATTTAACAAAATTCGGGGCAGAGTTTCCTTTGTACGGGGAGTTCTATCCAAAACACAACCTATGCAATTATACTACATTGACCACACCGGGTTCATTTATGAATAAATATTGACCACATTACTGTCTAAAATCATTTACATCATGAGAGCACTAATATGATCCATAAATAAATAAGACTTCATTTTTCATCCATAAAATTTATAACATTATCCAAAAGAATATGCCCAACCATGGTATTTACATCCCCAAAATTTAACTATCATAGCGTAGCGGAATAATAAAAGAAAAACTAGACTTCACAATGTTCAAAATAAATATTCTAGTCTAGAACAAACGAAAGTGTCGCTCTAAGCGTCCACTTTGGGATTCACGCTCCCGTCTATCAGAGTCTCCCAGTGTTCGGGCTCCTCGACTCCCAGCTCTTCTTCAAGAGGATAATCTGAAAAAGTTGTTAAGTAGGGGGTGAGTACGAAACTTTGTAAAAAAATTCTTCTAAATCCGAACAAGGTTTAAAAAA